TAATAATGATCCCTGAAGTATAGAAATAAATTCATGTACTTTAATATGCCAGAAGCAATGTTTAAGTTATATGGAAGTTTGCATGGGGGTAAGATCAACATTCAGAAAATGAAAGCCAAACTAAACCCCCTTCATAAAAAAAATAATACACCAACATGCATTAGACATAAATTATAAGAAGTGATTATGTCTTGAGCTCAGGAATTGGAAAGTCTTTTCTACAGAAAGCCATGTTGTTCTAGTCACATAATGTGGAGAGAGATCCCATCTAGTCACAAGATGGGAGAGAGATATGAAGTTATAAGGGACAGTTAGAAGGAAGATGCAAAGACTCAGAGAGATCTCAGTTGCTCACAAATCATGGAGATATTAATTTGCATTTATTGCCTGGGAGAAAGATAGAGTTGGACCCTCATGGAAATAGTGTCTGAATTAAAAACAGAGAGGTAAGAGCTGATGCTTTAGAGTTACCTGACTGAGCAGTGTGTAGTGACAAAGGAGACGCTAACCATACAATCAAATCCCAGTGAGCAGGTTGTGAACCAAATTAGTTTTGGGATTCGGTTTAAATTAAAAATAAAAAATACTGGAAAGAGGTATTATTTAGTGCCTCTCTTAGATACCACTACTCACAGTTCTTTTAAGTTGCTTATCTGATGAAGAATAAATGACTGGCATGTGCATATACATATGGCCATAGAAGCACCAGGGTGTGTAGGCTCATCATTAGCAGGGACTATCTGCTCTGTCACATATCTCTTTTGGATAGATTTTTCTCCTCTCATGAGAAGTACCTCAAAATTTTACCATTGGAAATATAAAAAAAATTGTAGATGTTTTACTGATCCCAGATTTTACATGTTTTATATCAAGTGCACACATTAAAGGGATATTTCTGTGATTGATTGGTGTGACTGTCCTCTGTTCTAAACAGAAATATACAATAAAGATAGGTTGGGCTAGTGAACTGTGTTAAATTTCAATCATATTTTAGTATTAATTCATTTGCTAACTTATCTGCAGCTTAAAGAACAATACCTATCATTCATCATCACCATCATTATCACCATCCACAGCAACAAAAGCAAACATTTGGGGATAATCTACTGTAATTATAGCTCCAGATCTGCAAGTTCCAATAATCACAAGGCAGTCCTTGGACAAGTATTGAATGCTTCAGGTTAGACATCTGATCCTACTGTGTAGAAACATTTTGTACCTAAGTATAATTCGTGAGCCATTGAACATCTGTGTGGATAGAAATGTATAGATATTCTGTTGAAAGAAGATGAATGGAGTTCTTCAAGAGTTTGCTTGGAGTGGGTAGGGCTAGAATATTCTCCACCACCATGCCCCCTAAACACATGAGAGATTGTTATGGGATAAAACCTGCCAGACTTAAAGCATGGTTCTCCCAAAATACATCCCAAAGTTAGGGTGGTGGGTGAATCCTAAAGTGTGACATTGACTTTAGTCCCAAGGATTCTGGTACACTTGAAATCTAGGCCAGCCTGTAGTAATGGTCTTCCATCAGTACCTGTACCAAGAAAGCTAACTTCAGACACTCTTCAGGATGCTTTTCTTCATTCTAATGAATAAGAACTCTCTAGCCAAGCTCCTTTTCCTGAGAAGAGATAGGCCTGAGATTGTCCCTATAAGGTCCTAATCAAAGTCATGTCCTCCTGGATTGGAACTCTAAATCTGGTTAAAGGTCCTTTCTTGTGAGCAAATAGATGCTCCTATTAAAGACTGAAATTTAGCAGATCAGGGAAGATGAGAGAAACTCCCCCTTGCAGCAGAATGCGGGGGTGGGGGGGTGGTTCTCCTATCTGCTGAACCTATCAGTCATGCCAAAGCAGCTTCTACAAGGCACGTGCTCTTTAATAATCAGAGCTCTAATGAACCACAAGATGAGGAGGGCTACAAGTTCACAAATAGGTAAATTTAAGTCTTCCTCATTAATATTACTTTATAGTGTTGGTCGTGACTGAGCAGTCCTCATGGGAGGGTGGCAAAGCAGTGATCTGAAGCATGCTTGGTAAGTATGAAAGAGAAAGATCCGATTCAAATGGAGATCATGTGTCACAGTACTCTCACATCCAAGCAAATTCTGGGAAGTGTTTACTTGCAGATGCCTTGGTACATTTTATTCAGATGTGTTCTGGGCTCAAGTTTAGCAATATGGGAATTACCAGTGTTCACTTTAATCCTGTGAACCATGATCTGCATGCAAATTCTCTCACCAGTGTCTATAGTAGTGTCAGGCAAGGGAGAGCTGAAAAAATCTCACCCATCCACTTTCAGTCTAAGGAGACCCAAATCCCATGTCTTTAGTAATTCTGGGACATATGGGAGGGGATGGCTGCAATGCAGCCAACATCTGTGAGGTTTGGCCAGACTGCTCCAGATCATGCTGCTGGGAAGAAAGTGGGTATACCTGGCACGTGGTGATGAGGGTGGAAGGTCAGAAGGACGCACAGACAGACCTGAAGTCAACAGTATTTTCTCAATTATGCTAGTAACAGCCAGAAATGAAACTATTCCTTTCTAAACATTGCCTATTCCTCTCAGGTAGAATTGACCCCCGAGGACCCAAGTACCGTAATTCCTGAATGTTTTGGCTCTGACCTTATTTCTGCCTCTCAGTGAATCTTCAGCTGCTTACTTAATTCCCAGAATCAATCCGAACAGATTAGAATTATGTGACTACTATTTTGGATTAAAATCTACCTTTTCTCTTAATTTGTGACCAGAGGCAAGGTTTGTGAAGGGAAGAGACTCCCCCAAACACTGGTTGGTAGAATTTGGAAATATATATTACTAACCCACAATGTTTTAAGCTTTCTGTTTTTTTTGTTTTGTTTTGTTTTTGTTTTTTCTTTCTTCTTTTTGTGAGAGCTGTGCTACGCTGTCTCACAGAAACAATCACACATAATAGCCTTCCCTGAACTGGGCTTGACATTTTGCCCAGCTTATGAGGTGAGGTGTTTGGACATGAGCAGGATGCCACAAACCTCGGCCAGAACCTTCTTGAAGGCATTGGAGGTCATGAGACCCAGCCCTCCTTCGCTTCTGTTAGGAGGATGAAGGTGGTTTCCAGAACCCGTCTGTCATCAGAGCACTTCTACAGAAAGAACCCATTCCACCCAAGGAGGGAGCGAAAGACCATTAGTCTGATTCAGATGTCCATTTCCCTCCATCTTCTTCACTCCTGAGCCAGGTGGGCTCTCTGGCCCCTCACCCCCACCCTACCCCGCTTGAGAATGAGTTACCACACCAGGTGAAGAGGGACATGGAACACTTTTTAATGTCAAGTCAGAGACAACCCCCCCTCCCCTAGTCCCCAATCCCACTTTCCCTCACCACATCCAGGACCCCTCCCCGAGGCCTCTCTGGTTCCCAGACTTCGGGGGAGGAAAAAAAGTTATCTAAAAACTGCATTTTCTTCTCTTTCATACACACGCACACAAAGGTGAGAAATTAAATAAAACGAACCAAGAGGATTCAATTCTCCAGTAGTAACAAAGGCATCAGAGATTTCCCACAATGGGCTAAAGCAAGTGGTTACTGACTGTGTGGTTGGTTCAGTTGCTTGCTGTTTACGCCCTAAGACAGGACAGAGAAGCCAGTCCTCCCATCAAGGTCCGGGCCTCCAAGAGCCACACCTGGAAAAGATGCTGCGCCTAGTATTAGTGTTTTGTTTTGTTTTTGTTTTCATTTTCTCTTTTCACTTTTTATAAATGTCTCTGACGTGTAAATAACCAAGGAAATAAAAAGGCAGGAGCTGATTACACAATTACCAGTAAACTCTATCATCTTTTAGAAGATCAACACACAGCTAACGCCATATACAGCATGCAGTAATGTCTGAGAAAGGACCCTGCTGAGAAATAAAATGGCTAGAACTCTAACAAAAAAAATATATGTATATATATACTGTATAATATATGTCATCAAAAGAAGCATAGCCAACAAACTCAAGATACAGTGTGGATCATCCTTCCATTTCTAAACAGCATGTAGAAGCATAGTATTTTCTGCATTAAATGCCAGAATAAGGAGAAATCTGTAGCGCTGGTGGAGATGTTGGTTAAATCGTATGTGGGGTTTTTTTTTTTTTTTTTTTTGGTGGATTTGACATATCCTTACCAGGTGGTTAATGCCTGGTGGTCCACCAGTTGTAAACCTAGTTTAGAAGTACACTATTTTTAATGTTTAACAAACATACTTCTCTTCACCTTTCATATGTGTATGTTTTTAGTCTTGTCTTGTTTTTGCACTAAATTCTAGACTCATATCAGAAAATATAATTAATAAAATTAATAATGAACCAGAATCCCTTATTATCCATGATGTCCATGTAGTAAAATGAAAACAAACAAACAAAAAAAGTGTAACTTTTTTTTTTTTTTTTTGTGACTGTTGATTGTGGGATTGTTGTAGCTGTCAGGCTGTTTTGTTTAGTCTCCTTTTTATTTTTTTTTCTTTAATTTTGCATTTTGTAACACACACAACAGTGGCACAGTCTATGAACGGGGCCACAGGGGCACATCTGGGTCCGCACGACTCCTTCTGCGTTCGTCTCTATGGAATTGGGAATAGCCGACTCCAGAATTTTCCTTGCTTGGGGTGCGTCAGTGGGCGGAGTGGCTGAGTCCTGCCCACCCTGGTAACAAACAGGTCATGATGCAGCTGCAGGTGGGTCCAGAGCAGGGTGCGCATTCTTTCAGTTTGGGCAAAGGAAGAAAACTCAGCTGTGCGTACTGATCTGCAAGACCTGCAAGGCGATTTTCAATTTCCCTTTGAAATGTGTTTTCCCAAAATTATTCTTTGTTCCCCTCCCTCGAATTTGTGTCCCATTAGGCTCTGTTTCTCTGAATTTTGTTGGATTAGATCTCATAAGAAACGGAGATGCTCTTGCTGCTGTCGGAGTTGCCAGTTGCTGTTGGGTTGGTGGTGGCGGTGGCAGCTTCTCCCCAGCGGGGGAAGTGGCATTCACATCAAAACTTGAGGAGTAGGTGCAAGACCAGAAGAGGTAGCAGCCAGATGCAGCCTGCCCTCCTTGATGTCCCGTTGTTCACTTCACTGACTGCGCCTGGGCCTGTGGAGAGAACAGACTCGTCATGGGCTGCCTGGTCTAAGATGGAACATCTGTCACCCTATGTGCTGTCATTAGGCCTTGCCACTGATGAGGCATCCCTGTAACTGGGACATTTGATGTTCCAGTGCCATATGTGTGTGTAGGGGTGGGGGAGTGGCTGCATTAGAAATAACCATTTACAGCTTGGATCCCATGGATGCACGCTGTATAAGAGGGAACCTTCATTTGCAAAGAGAGAACATGAGGATCAGGTTAAAGTGTGCTGGTGGCCGCTAATCCTCTCTCGTGTTGTAATATGCTAAGGACAAGGCTCAGGGTCAAGTTCAAGAAGGTGGCAGATTATTTAATATTCTACATGGAGTCAAGGAAGTGAAACCTTTGTATCATCTGCATCATCAACTGACCAATCAGCGTGTGCCTTAACCATTTACATAGCTCTCCAGCTGTTCAACCTGTTGTGCTGGGAAGGACCTGTTGGACACAGCAATCTGTCTCCCTGCTGCTGCCACATTGGGTTTGGTGCCTGTTCTGTCAATCACTCTATCGCAGGTCTGGGCACTGGGCTTCTGCCTGGAACACTTGGCCTCTTCCCTATCTGGACAAGGTAATAGCAGACCTAACTCAAGTATCATGTGCCTGAAAGGCCCAAATCAGCCTGCTGCACATTGAAGTGGGATCAAGTAAAAATACAGGTGGCCTTCTGCTGTGAACATGGAAGTGAGAGAAGGCTTATGTGGAAATTGGGATGCAGAGCCTGCCACCGTGCAGGTTTGTGGGTTGGAAATGGATGGCATACTTCCCTGAGAGACACAGCTCCACCTGGCCTGCATGCAGATACTCTGGGAGATGGGGACAAATGTTGGAGGCAAGAAAACTATGAGGTGCATGAAATTTCCCAGCAGTTTGCCTGTCATTTGAAACATCAGCTTTCTGGCCAAGAATGCCCATAAAAAATGGGGCCATGATTCATGAACAGTACACACAAGGGTGGAGGCCCAGATGAGTTAGGTACCTACTGCAGCAGAGAACCTTCTCAGGCTACACCTGCTCTGCCATGCTTTGTTGCATTGAATTTAATGGAAGTATTTGAAGCCGGTATCCCCCCTAAGGCCACCTCCCCATTGTGGTCAAGAAACAAAGCCAGAACCTGCCTGCCTGACTTGGGTGCTAAGAATCAGAGATACTTTTGGCTAATGCAGTTCAGCATCAAATCAAGCTTTCTTGATTTCATATGGGATGATTCCATCACATCCTTGAAGCCCTGGCCTGGGACCACTGCCCATACAATTTTATGTTTTAGACCTTTGGGACAAAACTCTGATTCTGGGGCAGTGGTTAAATAGATGGTCATGAATTTGAATGTATCAGGTCTTCCAATCTCATGTATTTGTGATGTCTGGCTCCCAATATTCCCAAGGCCAGGCATCACAAGTTCTCATGATAAGAAGCACAAAACACAGGTATTCTGTTCTCCACTGGCTGGGAAGTGAACTTCTGGGCAACACAAAACTAAAGGCATCTGCCATGGAATGCCTTCCTTCTTGCAGCCCATGGTGGATACAGGTGACAAAGGAGCATTCCTATTACGCTCCTATCACACTTCAATTTCAGAAATGCTTATCATTTACCAATGATCACTAATTGGCTCTGTCTTGTAAAATGTAACTATTGTGTTTCTATGTAAACCACCACCAGGACTCATTTCTTCATATTCAATCATTGTGTTATTTATACAGCATTCTTTGGAACCCCAGGAGAGAAGCCACTCCCCCTGCCTTCTAGGATGAGGTTGCCTCTCTCTCCAGTGAAGAAGCCCTGCTGCTCTGGGCCACTCCAAGATTCTTCACATTAAGACCCTTGCCTGTTACTGAAGCTGACTCTAAGCCACAAAGGTTGTTTCTGAAGCCAGCAGGCCAGTAGGTCTTTGTGTAGCTGGGTTCTGAGTTTAAGCTGGGATGTCCTCTTGGCTGCATTCCATCTTCCCCCTGTGCAATGCATGGTGATTCTAAGTGTGTTCTATGTGCCTGGCACACCACGCTCCTGGCCAGGCACACATCTGTTGGTGCATGACTCTCTTTCTCTTGCATGTCTTTTGTTCTCCTCAACACTTACACACACAGCTTTGCAGCCCACTCCCCCATTCAGCCCAGCACATTCCCACCATACTCCCAGCCCTGGCCATGGCTCAGAAGATGCCCTGTGGTAAAGTAAAAGGGAATAAATGCCAGGTATCTGAATTTAGTGTCTCTGGGATTCTCACCTGCATTCTCTTCTTTTGGGGCCACCCAGCTAGTGGGATTCTCTAGGGAAGAAAGTGGAGAATTAATGCCACAAGCCAGGCAGAGAGCCCAGCAGGAGCCTGCTTCCTTACCATGTAAAAAAGTCAGAAAACCGTGTTTGCAGCCAGGGCCTCTGCAGCGCTGCAGGGAGGGGCTGTGAGCCGGCAAACCATCCCCAAGACACCTCACAATGGCTGATGCCTCTGCAGGTGTGCTCTCTGGGCACCATGTGCTCTGCTTCATTGCTAAACCCCTCAGAGTTCCTTTGTGGCTCTGCTGCCTGCTGGGAAGCACCACAGAGAGCCAGCAGAGAGAGGTCCTGACCTGTTGTGTCAAAAAACTCTTACCATAGAAGAAAGGAAAAGGCCACCAAGTGCGTCAGAGCCTCCTCCTCTTGCCTGCATTTGTTTCCCTGCCCAACACACAGGGTCTCTCTGCTTCTCTCCTGTCCCAGGCCCACAGGGGACTGTCACTCACTGTGTGGGGCCATATCCAGCCTGCCTCCTCCTTTTCCACATACTTTCTCCCCTCGCCAGCACCCCCCCATCCTTCTCTTGGGCACATCCAGGAAATCTGACCTGGACAAAACTGGTCATAAGGAGGAAGAAACAGGAGTAGACCCTGAAGAAGCATCGAGACGAGGTATTCTAGTCATCCTCCCAAAGGGGACAGCTGCAATCCTCCAATCCATAGAAATTCACAGACTGTGCCTTGCCACCTGTGGCCTTGACCCCTTCAGTTTATTCTTTATGCTAATTCCAGAGCAGTGTTTCTATGATTCCACACTCATCATGACACTAATCTATGTGATTTCTACAGCCTTCATGAAACTTCCCAACTGCTTGGTATAACACTCCCTACATTTCAGAGTCTGCTTGCTATCTGCCTCCTCAGCCTCTTTTCCTGACACATGTTCCTTTGTTTCTCCTCACTCCCTGCCACCACTCCCCACTCCATGCAACACAAGCACACAGACACTACACATACTCATGGTCACGTAAGCGAGTGTGTGTGAACCACATTCTCTTTCCTTTCCATCCTCACATACCCTCTGCCTCTATGCCTGATGTGCTCTCCACCCAAATCACTGCCACTCATTGTTCCAGATTCTGTTCTGGTCCCCATTTACCTCCTCCAGGCAGACTTCCTTGACTTGCTCCTGTTTTGCTTCCACAGCACCATATGTATCCCACTATTAAAATACCTACTATGTGTGTTATAATTCTCTTTATTTGCCTAACATGAATTTCCTCTGCTGTGCTATAAAGTTTCTTAAGGAAGGGTAGGGTCTGTGTCTAACTGGGCCCATGGCAGGTATTTAACAAATGTTTTTTAAAAGAAAGAAGAAACCAGAACATTTTGATGCATACTGATGTGTTCACATTTACTCTGTCTCTGTGTTTTCCTTTCTCTTAAAATTTTACTGAGACAAAAAAGCAAAAGATCAACTGAATCAAAACAAAACAAAAAATTCTCTACCTTTTTTTCTATCTCAATTTCTCTCTTCCAAACATCCTTTCCCTCTTTTTCTATTTCCAATAAAAGTCTCTCAAAGTTCCTATGGTTGAGGGAAAGTATACATAGAAGTAAAACCATATCTATTAGGATTCCAGGAAGAATTCTTACAGTTGGAAAGGTGTCCCAGACCCTTAAAAGCACTCAGGTATGAAATGAGGATTATTCTCTGTGCTTTCATATGTGGACACTTAACCTCAGAGAGCTTAACTCCCTTGACTTCTGTCTCCAAATACAATTTTCTTTCCACCAACTTGGGGCTGTCACTTTGTGTAACTCACACATCTTCCAAGAATGAAGAAAGGAGAGAAAATGAGGCCACAGGGCTTGTCCCACATCGGTACTGGGTAAGGTGGGACCCACACATGGTTTCCCACACTTGCCAGCACATGAAAGAATTCCACGAGATGAGAGTGTTTTGTCTAGGCAGGTGTGGATCACAGCATCCTGGAGCAAGGCCCTCTCAGAGCCTGTGCCAGACAGAGCAGCAACTCAGTCCATTAGCCTGGTGACATGGGCCACACAGATGAGGCCTCTGTTCATCATCCAGCCATGCCTCCATTCTGCCTTAGATGCCTTTATTGCTTTTATTTCACTAGAGAGCTGTGAAAGCCTAAAGAGACTAATCACCAGGACAGTTGGGGTCCCAGAGAACTGTGATGAACATCAATTTAACCATCAAAGACATCTAGTGGGAAGGAAAGCCTCAAATAAGATGTGTTTTATTTGTGGCCAAGTGACTCACCGAAGAACCTCCCCCTTCCTTCCAGTTTCCCCTCCCTCCCCCACTTCCCCTTCCAGCTCCAAGTTAGAAAGAAAGAGAGAACAGGGTAAGTAAAGGATAGCATGCAAGGCCAAGGTCTAAGAAGGTCATCACATTAGAGCATCTGCTTGTGAGGAGAGGCTGGTCTGGTCTGGAGCAGCCAAGACATGGAGCTATTCTGGGCCCTGGCAGGTGCTCATTAGTGCTGCCAGCAAACAGCAGTTAGAGGTCTGCAAGTGGAAGCTACCCAGGGCGAATGGCATATCCTTGGAGACAGGTTAATCTAGATTGGCATAGACATGGCCCAAGGTCAGGGAGGACTCCCACTGGGCTGCTTGTGGGGTTAGCTCAGAAGAGAAGGCATGTTGGAAGAAAGTGAAGAGTTTTGGATACCCATCCCCACCCAGGCAGCAAGCAGGTGCCTGGAAATAAATATACCAACCTTTCCAAGGGGTCAGAGCTGTAGTTTTCACTTCTAAAAGAAATTAAAAACAAGCCACTGTTAAGGTAGAAAGCAGTCAGAGTCACTTGGTTTGTCCTCTGATGGTTCTGGGAAGGAGCTGGTTCTCCCAGCCCAGGGCCTTCCCCAACCGTTCTGCACTTGCCTCTTGCTGTCTTGACCACAGTCCAGCTCTTGTATGTGCACCTCTCTTTTTTGTTGGGAAGTCAGTTGCCATAAGGTTGAGTGGGGGGATGGGGAAGGATATGACTGAGGGTCAGATTGGCTCATTAATCCAAAGAGAACCAACACACCCATCTGATCATAGCAGGAAGCTTGGTACACGCTGGAGCCTGAGGCCCCAAGCCAATAATACTTCTTTGTACAATTTTCTTTCTTTGGCCACTGGACTATCCCCTAGTTAAAGTCTGTAGGCCTCAAGTATAAAATTGGCTGATACAAATGGATTATATTATAAAAATCTGAATGTAGGTGCCCATGCTACATTGAGATGTAAAACTTTGGCATTTATCTGCACATTTTACAAAAACTGTGCCAGAGGAGCTCATACCTGTGATACCTGACTTCCCTTGATGAGTCAGACTATATAGCAAGCTGGTCCAGAGGGACAATCTCAGGCAATAAGACCCACACCTATGCTGCTACACTTACACTTGCTAAGTAAGACCTGCCTGTGGAAATTTACTGGGATGCCAGCTCTTCTTTGATGATTAGACCACAAAAGACCCACATTTCACCAGCTGCAGGCCTTCAGAACAATCCATAGAGACTTTCCTGCTAATAGCAGATGTCCTGAGTCGTCAGAAAGTGGTCCAATCTCTAACATTTTACTTGCCTCTTTAACTAGGTGTCTGCAATAGTTCAGCCTGGATGCAAAGAGGATGGAAAATCCTTTCACAATGTGTATGTAGATCAGTGATTTACATTTTAAATATTTCATAATTTTATTTGTCAGCTATACATCAATAAATCTGAAAATAAAAAAATGCATTAAATTCTTTGCATCAAGGTGATACCGCTCTCTGTGCAAAGGTCCTTGCATATAGAAGGAAAGGCAACCTGGATGTAATTTAACCTAAACTCAACTAAAATATTTAACCAAAATCAGATGAATAGGTATGTATGCATTCAAGCTATCTATTCTTTAGGGTGCCCGAGATATGATATCCCTCTTTAACTAAGTGGACCTTGGCAACCTTGGGAAGCCACTCTAAAAAAAAGTAAGGGATAATCCATGATCACAGAACAAAGGTATGATTCACAGAAGATCTGTCACATCAAGATGGTAAAGAAAAGCCTCATTGTGCATTTAGCAAGGACAGTCTCTTGGAGTGATTGTTGGGGACTAGAGACCCACCCCAAAGCCAATGTGGGGTTATTTTCCCAAAATGCCTCACTCAGGTACCACTGACTAGAGTTTCTCTGTACCAAGAAGAAGGGTGACTGGCAGGATGGAGGATGAAGAGAAACTCATGGAGGGAAAAAGTAGTCATAGGCCTTCATCCCCAAACCACAAGCAGTGCAGATGTACGGTACATTTGAGAGAGGGCAGCCACTGACTTATGGGGTGCTGGTTTAAACACTGCTGTAGGAAGGACACAGGGAAGGGTTCTACTTAGTAGTTTGGCTTGCCAGAACATCGAAAGAGAAGTGAACTAAAAGTGTAAGTTTCCACAGGGCTCTAGACACCTGTTGTGATTTTATGTAAGGCAAAAACATCTGTAAACAACTTTAGCTTAATTGTTACCATCCAGCTATTCTGTCTCCTGAACTCCAACACACACTACTTGAATAAGAACAATACTCTTCAGTGACCATTTCAAATTGTCTAATTAACTGGAATGTCCTTCTGTCCACCTTACATCTCACCACAGTAAGGGGGTAATGTTGCCATGATATTGTCTGTATTACCCTGATATTACCCTGATGCTATACTCCATCCCACTCCAAGAAGAGATGCAGAAAGGTTAACATGCTTTCTAGATCATGGTCTACATGCTATCACGTTGTGTCAGTTTGAAGAAGTATGAGCCTTGCTTGAGCCTCCAAGCCACCCATGGAGCACTAGCCACCAATAACCTCATGTTTTTGAGTTCATTGTTGGCTATCAAGAAAACAAACAATCCCTGAAAATCCAAGCATGTATTTCCTTGGCAAGAACTTGACTGAAATTGGTGAATTTTGTTGATATATTAATGAGAAGCCAGGTAGAACTGGATAAAATATTCAAAATAAAGTATAAGAGAAAAGAAAAAGAAGAAAAAAAGAAAAGAAGAAAAAGAAAGAAAGAAAGAAAGAAAGAAAGAAAGAAAGAAAGAAAGAAAGAACCACTCCCCTTAAGCCTGCAAGTCAGTATCTGTAGTCAATCCATAATGTGATCTTTTTTGCCACCGGAAACAATGTTAGCTAAATCTAAGTACCTATGTAAACACTGGGTTTCTGATTCTAGTGTGCAGAGAAGAGCTGGTTGCATGCCAGGATGGATATATTCACCTTCTAGAAAGAGGTTGAGAAAATGTTTTTTATACCTTCAGTATTTAGACATTCTGTGTGCCATAGAAATGCTCACTGCTAGACAGCTGGGCCTAATTCATTATCTTTAATCCTCTGCAGGGAAGAAGTGGTCATCTTTCCTACTGCACTTTTTTTTTTCTTCTTCTGATATACAGAGTTTACTAACTCCCCCATTCTTTAATAAGTTGGTTTGATGGTCACTGTGAGGTTCACAGACATTAATCAGCCAACCTTTCCCAGCCCACTGATACCATCAAATCTGACTTCATGCCTAGGAGATAAAAAACAAAGAACAGTGGATGGGAAATGAACAGCTACCAAGACGCTGAGTTTGCAGTGTGGGCCCCGGCACACTTGCCGGGGAGGGACTCAGTGAGGGTTGGTGGTGCATCCCTGAATCCTTATTTATCATGGCAGGAGTACTGCGCCACCAAATATTAATACGAGAAAGTGACATGCAATCTGTTGTGTTTGCGAAAGGGGAGCAGAGAAATACTTCAAGGGTGGCAGAAAATGCTGAGGAGGAATGAAATTCTCTTATCAGAATCTCTCTAGTCCATCCAGATATTGAGTAACAAAATAGCTTAGAACTTCTCTTAAAGCCAACTGTACCCTGTCAGTGGAAATCCATGCATTTGTATAAATCTTGCTTGGTATTTCTGGCATAAGATGAGCATAACTTGGGGGTATTCCCTGACAAAATAGGTAGCTCTCTATTCTATAGGAGACTAGCAAAGAAGAAGGGGAAAATAAAATGAACACAGATGAAGGGGAGAAATGCCCCAGGCACAAGATTTGTTTTCTTTAAGATATTTTTAGTTGTACAAAAGAATCCAATAGCTATACTGAAGACCACACTAATCCAAATCTTGGAACATTCCAGATGTCTACAATCTACAACTTCTGGCAATGACCCATTGCCGTGTACTCAACAAGAAGGATGTGGCATTGAGAGCAGCCTGAGAATCTGAGTACAGAGCTGGCATACAGATCCTTTTACCCAAATTCATTGTTGCAGCAGAGAGGGGTGAGGCAGGACAGCTTTGTCTCAGCAGGTGGAGCCTGGTTATAAAGTGTCCTTCTCCTGCTCCAGTGGTGACAGAAGTGATTTGTTTGTTTCTGGTCTGTTTCATTATCATTGGCTCTGGTGTGGGACAATGCCCCTTCTGTCAGTTGAGTATACCTACAGGTAAATACTAACTCCTTAGCAACCACTACCTGTTTTACAAGTTCCTATTCCCTCTGAAAATAAAAAGCTAAGTGATCAGAATCACTTCTAAAAGCACATCCTGTAGCACTATCTGTCCTCACTCCAGTCCCTCATGCCTCCTCCTTTTCTCATTATTCTCATCTCCTAATTCTCTTAATTTGAGATCTTGGATCTCCTCATGCCAGGGTTTAATAAACATAAGTTGAATCATAAATTGAACCTGAATTCTTCCACTGACTTCACTTTTACTTTCTATTTCTTTGTTTCATTTTCTTGTTGGCAGTGCCTTACCATGGCACTCTACATCACCAAGGTGAAGAACGCAGCCCTGATTCTTTTTGTTGACAAAAGTATTTTTCCTCATCTGTCAAACAGCTTCCCCTGTAATTTATCTCCTTTCATCTCCTTCCCACCTTGCAAGTCTACTGTAAGATGGGACATCTTACAGATGGGAAGGGATGCAGGGGATGGGTGTGGGAGAAAGATCAGGGACTGGGGTGGAAGGTGGGTAAAGCCTCAAGCTGCCTTCCTGCTAGGCTACCCTATGATCAGCACCGTCCTCAGGAGGAAAACAGTAGCATGTGCCACATGGATTCCACTGCACCACTTGGGTAGTCTCACTCCTGCCCAAATGCTCAGTCTCAGTCTTAGAGAACCACCTCTGCTATGTTAGGGGACTCTGTTGAGTCACTTATATTGGTGGGCCTTTGAGAAAAATTGTGGCTGTGCAAAGAGAAGCAAGAGATGAAGGACTTTTATAGGGGAAGGGCTTGAGGTGGAATAGGATTTACGGGGCTGGAGAGAAGAGCTTGAACGAGTTAATTAACCCCTATGACGTTACACTGAAGGAAACTCTTGTCTTTGAGTTTGCATCTGGGGATTGGGCTTGAATGATTCAAAATGCACCTGGCAGTTTTCAAAGCCTTTTTAATATGTGTTTTCAGATGAAAGTTGGAACAACTATAAGGTAGATAAGACAGATCAATTTTATTTTATAGAAGAGGAAATGGAGTCTCAATAATGTTTAGTGGCATGCTCAAGAGCATGGAACTACCAAATATCAGGCTCTGAACTCGATCCCAGTGGTATCCCACTCCCAGTCACTACTTATTGATTATCATGCACGCTGTACCCTGCCCATCTTCCTTTCTTGGAGAACCTCGCTTTGAATCAGCTGATGAATTTTAGGGAACACCTAAACCTTCATGCATATGGTGTTTGCTTCTATTGCTCATGGGCCACTGAAGCTATGCATGTTGCTATGAAAACTGCTCAGTGGGCTGGACTGTTTTCCTACTGGTTCAGACTCATGCTGTCTATCTTTGGCCTGCACACGGATCTCTGGACTTTCAGATGTTAATGGTGTTTATTTTCTTTTCCCCCTCCAGGCCCTTCTGGGGAAGTGTGGGCAAGGTGTGAGCAGAGAAAGGACAGCTTCCCTGGGAGCTCTCTCAGCTCCAGTGACCTCCTTAGCTTCCCCTGGCACCCTCTAAGCAACTCCACAGACAGGTAATGTGGGTGGGGGAGGAGAAGGGGGATACTGGCAGAAGGGGGGAAGGGCAAAAAACCATAAAGCAAGGGGAATACTGACCTTGCAACAAAGTTGAGCTTGTAGGCTCATTTAGTTCTAAATCGGGTGAGGAACGTACAGGAGAGAAAAATGAAAACAAACACATATATTATATACAGTAGCTATATATTTGTCATATATAGTTTGTATACTGCTATTCACACACGTTTCTGAGGGATGGGTAAATAAAGGAAGACACAGAAAACAAAGGCGGACAAGATGCAGCATGAGAAGCACTAAGGTGCCTTATGCTTCCATCCTTGGATGCCACGGTTGGAAAGTGACGGAGTTGGCTGCTCATACATTTACAGTGCTGTGCTGAGCTGGGGAACTGACATGGTAGCAAAGGACCAAAGTCCCTTTCCAGATGAGATTTCTGTCCCACATCTTACCCCCATTGTCTCACTTCGGGAGACCAAGTTCAGGAATTTCTGGTCCCATGGCACCATAGCAGGAACAAGGTGGCCCCAAGAACCATGGTGATTCAGCTTGTGGGGGCCCCTGCTATCCTTGCAGTCTTAGGGATCAGGAACATGATCTCATGGGTTCATGATAAGAAGGACCACCCTGTTCCATTTTGCTTAAGTACTGTCAAAGATATGGCCACAATGGGACCTCCTAGCACAGCATTCCTCACTTCTCAACATTCAGGTCGCATGATGCACAACGTGCAGGTTGTGAAAAAGTTGGTGGCAAAATTGTGATAATGTAGCTGGCTTTCTGTGATGCTATAGAAGAATGGACTGCATCACAAAGTTCATATATTCGCATAACACAAATGCTACTTTCCCCTCACCCTAGTCTGCTTGATGGCTCTGGGCTGAGAGTCTGCTGATAATGGGAGATGACACAGAAAACTCTGCTATGTCTGTATTTGTCAAAAGGACTTATTGATGATGGGTGTCCATCAAGAATTTGGGGGCTGCAATGTCTGGACTAGCCTCAGAGAGAGCTGACAGGGTGAAAACACCCATCTTGCACACTAATGCCATTTTACTCCACCTTGCACACTTGTGCAAGTATATAATATATAGTATATAGTATATAGTATATAGTATATAGTATATAGTTACTAGTTTCATGGAACTATGTTAGCCATGGAGCATTTCTGTGATGGGCTCCTCCTCACAAATGGCCTCTCAATTGAGGCTTAAAAAGTGCTTACTGTTAGATTAAATTTGGCAAATGTTCCATGCTTTTTCTCCCTCTTAGAGATTTAGCACGCAAAGAAAAGCTCTGAGGTCTCTGCATTAAAGAACATCCCTGCATGCACCCCATTCATCTCGGTTGACCCAGTCTTTCTAAACTTATATGAACACATAATTTCACTTTTTCTTTTATTTTTTAGAGAATCCTGGACTCCACAGAGCTGGCAATTGGAGGAATGTCCCAATGACACAGGGCAGATGCAGACAGAATGATGCTGGGGAGGCAGAGGTTCTAATTGCCATGCAGGGGTCAGCTGAGAAGAGCAGATTTATGGCACATGCTTCACTGCGTTCCTTGCCACAGACTCCAGTTATTTCACTCTTAAAGCTTGTGCCTTCTCCCTGTTCTCATCTTCAGATGGCTTAAGGGGAAGAGTCCAGGGAATTAGACAGTAGTGATAAAGCCAATTGCAAAACCATGCCATGCATCCAAATCAGAAGAGTGAGGAGGTCAGAGGAGGAGGAATACTGTTCACAGGAATGAGGGGCACTGTGGGTGGAGGGCAGGCCTGGGGAGGGGTGGGAGGCACAGCTGGGAGAGCCTCAGATTTGCAAGGCCAGGGAAGGAGGGGTCCATTCCTTTATAATCCTGGCCCTTTTGTTCATGCAGACAGACACCTGCCAGAAAGCCAGAAAGGCCTGACAAATGTGAGGGGCAATTATGACTATCCCTGTGTGAGAGATGTCAGACAGATCAATCACTCTAATCCCATCTCTGTCCATTCTGACCTACCAGGTCTGGGATCAAGGGCAGTCTTACCCTTCCCATCCCCCTTTGGATCAAGCTGGGCCTTGTTTTAAGTGCTGGACAGAAGGTGGGCCAAATGTGATTTGGAAGCCTAGATGGAACAATGGAGCAGCACAGGAGGGTTATTCGGGTAAGGCCGGATACACTGGGCTGTGGAGGGGGTGTGGTAGAGGCTGGGGGGTGAAATGAGGTACTTGAAGCTATGGGATTATCTGGGAGTTCTCAGAATAAAAGGAATTTATGTTCTTGCCAATTATCTGCTAATTTACTCCCTTTCCCTCCCCATCATATTCAAGAGTGCCTGCTACCATGGGAGACTAAGGGAATGGATTTGAAAAATTCTAAGCTACCTTACTTGGGATATGAAGGGATCTGCCCCAGAAAGCAACCAGATATTAACCATATGGCCTGTAGTACGAATCTGCATCTACTAAGTGATGAAAGCCATCACCGGATGCTTGGAGTCCTGCCTGATGACACACACCTAGACAGCCAGGCTCACTTGTATGTAGTTGCTTGAGACATCGCAGGTCTACAAGGGAGTTTGTTTGCTTTCTTCATTTGATTCTGGCACAAGTATAGTTGCCAGAGAGGTAATGAAGGCATAGAAATTTTCTGTGCATATATTACTCCCCCCCAAATAAATAGTTGTTTAATGAATTAATGCATGAATGACTATGTGGCTTCTGTTAGGATGGTGGCTTGGTTGGACAAATATATCTCAATCCAGTCAGACAATACCCTTTGACATAAATGAAGAGCTAGGGAAATCCCCCATTTTCTATTAATTCTCCCTCTGAAGCTAATATCATTCAGGATCCCAAGCCCTATGATTCCACTTTTATTTTTATTTTTATTTTTTAAATATGAAATTTATTGTCACATTGGTTTCCATACAACACCCAGTGCTCATCCCAACAGGTGCCTTCCTCAATACCCATCTTTTATAAACAGAATCCAGTTTCTCCTATGTCCCAACAACCCGGAAAAGGCTCAGCAATGGTAATGTTTTACACTGCTCTAGGGAACAAAGTATGAAAATAGCAAATGTTCCTCTCTGAGCGCTTTGCTATCACACCCAGTTGGAACCCTGATACCTCAGTTAGCTGAGGAGACCTTAAAGAGAAGAAAATTAAATGTCGCTTCAGCATCCCAACATCATTTCTTCCCACTTCAGGGTTTTTCCATTTCAGAATAAAATGTGAACATTCTTTCTCATTTTCCTCTGCTACTAAGACCCATTTTCGTCCATGCAGTCATTTCTCTCTCTCTCTTTCTCTCTCTCTGTCTCCAACTCCCCCTCCTCTCTCTTTTCCATTCAACCCTGCCCAGCTGTTCCTGATTCTCTTCCACTTGCTGCCCTACCCCGGCTGTTCCTTCCAATTCCTCCTGTGCCATGCGACCCTTTCCTGTTCCTACTGCCCAACTCAGGGCTCAGTCTTACCAAATAGTGTGATGCTGGCATTGGTATGGCCCAACTTATTGGAGGCCACACAGGTGTAGTTCCCATAGTCATGTTCAGACACATTGAAGAAGATGAGTTTTGAGAGAAAAGGTCTGTTTTCCACTTTGACTCCCTTCTTTCCTTCAACCAGTCTGAGACAAACAAGAGAGACAAAAAAGAAGAAAAAAGGAGATGGTTATATTTTTCTAATAGGAGAAAGACTCTGGAATTAATGATCTTTTTATTGTCCATTTTCTGATGTTAGGAGGACTATTTTTCCCCCACTCAGCTATACAAGTTAACACACAATGATGCATACAATTGTATTTCTCTATTTTTACACAGGTGTCTGGAGACTCTCTTGGCACTACACAGATATTCACCAAGTTCTCTGAAGGCAGGTGCCTTCAACAACTCTAATGTGCCAGCTGTGAGACATTCAGACAGTATTATTCACTCAGTAGGTGCTCCAAGTGTGAACCTAATCGATGTTGATGATGGTGTTAATGAAGAAGATGATAATGGCAACCATAAACATAAAAAAAAAAAAATTAAAAAAAATCTCAGTCTTCAAAGAGAAGAACCTAAGGAGTTTGAAAGAACATGTTTTCAAGCACCTGGGTAATAAATGTTCTCTTACAGCTTGAGGCATTCTATAGATAATATCTTATTTTTGGTTATAAGAATCAGGGATCATTTTTAAGCAGGGTAGTCTGAAGGGCTTGAGAGACTGGTCTTCCCAGAGTATTGTAGCAACTCAGTCTGGGAAGGATTATGGATTCCTAAGAATATGACCCTATAGACTGGGCAGTTTCCCTGAGCAATCCATGATGGCAGCCCCATATGCCACAAGGGTTCCCTTTGGTGGTAGGGGCTACTAAAGAAAGGCCACAGAGAGTTAATGGGGGAAAACAGATATACCTAGTAGAACCATGGATACCACTACTGGACAGATGGTGAGGATAGGGGAATACTGCTCAGGGGTCAGTGGGGACACATCCTCCATCTCAGGACACTGTTGACAAAAATACCTACTACCAATGCATGTCTACATAGAAATTATGAGACTAACTCTCTTCCTTTTTAGAACTCTGGAACATCCCATTTCAGAGAATGGGCTTTAAGCCAACCTTTTACCTTCCCTGAAATAAAATGGTCTTCCTTGCCCAGAAGCTGAGTCTATGTTATGGGAAAGATAAAATGCTAGTGGGGAAAAAAAATCCTGAATGGAGGATCTCAGCAAACATGGTTTTAGGCCTGGTTGGGGCAGGATGTGTAGGAAGAAATGTCAGGGTAGATACATAATGGAACAGGCACAGGGGACAGGAATTGGGGCAAATGGCTGGTTTCAGAGTCATCACACTGAGAAAGATAATATTCAAGGCAGAATAGAAAGGGAAGCCCAGCAAGACAATGATGAGAAAGTGCTCCATAAACTATAAAATGTTATTCAATATACTGTATTTCTGTGGAGTTAGACATCGAGAACTCCTGCCTATCCCTGGGACCCAGCATGTTTTTGGCATAGAGGACAGCTGCTTTGTCATCATCTGAGGGGATTGTCTCTGTAGGACCACGGGACGATTCTCTCCACCATCCCTACCATGATCAGAAGAGAAAGCCAGGTTCTGGCTTCAGTTCTCATGCAACATCTGTCTCCAGGGAAGTCAGAAGGTTGCATGAAGGAACTTGCTTGCTTTTCATTATGTAGATTTTCCTCTGAGAGCCTTTCTCTCTCCTAAGCTAGGGGCAGTGAACTGGCCTGAGTCCATGGACTTCATTAAAATGTGAGCACTGTAGGAACAGAATGAGTCATCCGGCTGTGCTGCCAGATGCCACTGTTATATTTCCAGCTTGTTATGTAGATATTGATCCTCTAGGAGGTGCTGTCTAAAGAAGGCTCTACAGCCACCCACCAGGAGGTTTTCAGAGAGCCCGTCAAGTGTATTGATCCCATTTGCCATTTTGACACTATTCCTGGGCTGGGGAGGAAGCCTTCACATCAGAACCAAGCTGTGAATTAGATTTCAGCTCTGCAGTGGGGAGAGACACTTACCTGAAGCAGGTTACTACTTGACAGCTCTGAAATGTCTTTAGTTAAAAGCAGGGTGGGGTGGCGAGCCATTCTTTGCAGCACTTTGCAGCTTCTAGGGCGACAGACTTGCCTTTTCTCTGTGTGGTCACACTTTTCCCCCATCCCAAACTGCTCCCAGGCTTTGTGTTTTGTTTTGTTTTGTTTTGTTTTGTTTTGTTTTTTAATGAACCTGAGGTTTTTCATTGGCTCATGCCCCCATGGATGGGTGGCTCTTATTACACACAGCATCCTATTTCCTCTCCTTTTCATTGATGATACATGCAGTGGCATGTCATTCAGTAGTGCTAGTGTGTGGACAAAGAGACTTCTCCCCAAATTTTGAGAAAACCGCCTGTCCCCATCATATTGACTCCTTTGATTTGCCTCAGAAGTCCACCCATCTCACTGGAATAGGAGCTAGGGTAGAGCTGTTCTTTCCCCAGGGATATCCGACTAGAGGAGGTTGCCTGCCAGCCTCAGGGGCACAGGAAGGACTGGCATGGACAAGGATCTCAGAGCCAGAGATGTTCAGGCTGAGCTGGGTGTCAGGAAGGCAGACAACTCCACTCAGTAGGAGAACACTGGAAATACATAAATGCAGAGCACATAGAAAACTGACCAGAATCAATTAAAGGGGAAAAAAGAGCCCCATGAGAAGAGCTTGGACAGAGGAGGAGTCAAGGCTGCCTGAGCCAGGGTTTTCTGACCGCCCCCCCCCCCCCCCCCCCCCCCCCCGCCCCAGTGACATAATTGGGCTTTCTCCTCCTGGGTTAATAACGCATAGACAGCAGCACCTCTGGTGACAAAGTGTGTAAAGCAGACTTTCCTTTTTTGGCCATTTTTGCCTATGGTCTGCTCTAATTTCCTCCACATATTATAAGATCTTACCTTCCCCTATGTTTCTTTTTAATGTTTATTTATTTATTTTTGAGAGAGCACAAGTGGGAAAGGAGCAGAGAGAGAGAGGAAGACACAGAATCTGAAATAGGCACCAGGCTCCAAGCTGTCAGCACAGAGCCCAATGCAGGGCTTGAACCCACAAACCATGAGATCATGACCTGAACC